TGACGTCGTCTTAGTGAAGACTTGCACTTGATATTATTGCAATATCAACTTTGCGATCTACTAAAACAGGTAACTAATGGAAATTCATAAAAAATATCACTTCGATATTATGAAGTAAATATCTCATAGAATAATAAAGATACTTATAATGCATACACTTTCAAAAATGCATAAAATCGTAAATCACCCGAACTATAAAATCATAAACATTGTGAATGTAACGGCATACACAACGATTCTGTCCATTCTGTTGCAACCACTAAAAACTACGCAGCGTAAACTACAACTGCACAACTGATACAGTTTATCTCGATAGATATATAACATTTTAAATTCAGTCATCAGAATGACTGCAGTTCCACTGCCTCAGCATCAGCTATTCACACCAATGTCGTCTGCCACTCGCTACAGCTGCGGGTATCGTGCTAACACGACCCTACTTACTGTCGGAAGTGATCCACTACAACGTGCCCATCGACGAGGCTCTCTTCGTCCTTACCAATGAGGGATGCTCCGTCACCGGGCAGGAAAACTGCGATACTAGTAAGTGCGCGGATCAAATTTTTCGAATAAACTTTACTACTTTGCTAAAAAAGGATGAACAGAGATTTGATTTATTGTAAACTTTGATAATAGCTTTTCCTGCGCTTACTACATATTCATCTTTTTCATATCTGTATAGCAGTTTTAATTTTATTTCAAACGATATGGTCTTTATTGGCTCCTTTGGCTTAGCAGTAAGGCTAATAGTTCTACCAAGAGTTGCAGAGCATTTATTAGTAGTGGCCTCTCGTGTAAGTTCTGTTACTGGTATTTGTTACTTTTTAAGGTAATTTTCTGGTATACCTTCGCATAACCGATCGCGACAATTTTGATATTGATGGATTCCTCTCACGCTCTACTATTCAAATATTCCGAGATTATGCCAGGGACACCCCTCCCCCCACCCCACCTAATTAGCGATAATATTGGCCCCAATACCAAGGGAGGGCATAAAAGGTACCACGGAAATTGCAGACTCAGACACTATACTGTCTAATGTCCGGGGCTCTTCCGCAGGGGATGCTGTGTATATTATTCGGCAATATCCCTGGTACCTTTTCTGCCCTCCCCTGGCCATGAATGTGAGAATTTGCGGGGGGTGGGGTACCCCGGCACAATTCCTACAGATATGTGTACTAGAGAGTGTGAGGAATCCATCGATACCAAAAATGTTGCAATCGGTTTTGCGAAGGTATTCCAGAAAATTACCCTTATTCATTAAACAGGTTTAATAATTTATAAGAATATGAAGTGTTTAGACAATAAATTTCTATAATAACGTTATCCCTCAATTTTTCGTTATCTACAAGTTCCTGGGTTTCTACATTATTTTCTGTATCATGTGCTGGGTAACTTGAGAAAACAGAAAGCTGTCAAGAACGACTTTATAATAATCAACGGGCAAGTGTGTAACAGATGACATTCACTGTTCGGTACTTAATCAGTGGTGTCCCCAACGCCCAATTACCAAGAGTTTCTTTCTGACATCCACAGTATTTCTCTTTTTTCTGTTCCCCTCCTCTTCAATCCGGTCGCATTCTAACTCTGCAGTTCTTGACTACGACTTTCAACTATTTCCCTCCATGTAGATACGAGGGAATTTCAAAGTAAAATGTCTTATGATTTTTTCTTTTACAGCCAAGTTATGCATTGCTAAAAAGATCAAGGATGTTAGTTTGGAACTGCAGGAATTATTTGGGTGAGTTTTAAGAATTCAAGTGTTTTTCCACTTCTTCTAAGTCTACTGTAGCAAAAATCTAAAACTGTATGCAACACATGCATTTTATGCTTTGCTTCACCAATCAGTGTTGTCCGTGTAAGTGGCAATTTCCTCTTTTATCAAAAGTCAGTGCTAGTAACAGGCATCTGTTTCGGATACTGGAGCCATAACTCATTGGCAATATTGAGTAGTGAACGTAGAAGTAAGATTTATATATATATATATATATATATGTATATATATATAAATGTATATATATATATATATATATATATATATATATATATATATATATATACGTATATATATGTATATGTATATATATGTATATATATATATATATATATATATATATATATATATATATATATGTGTGTGTGTGTGTGTATGTGTGTGTGTACATATGTGTATATATATGCATATATATAAATATATATATATATATATATATATATATATATATATATATATATATATATATATATATATACATATATATATATATACATATATATATATACATATATATATACATATATATATACATATATATATATATATATATATATATATATATATATAAACACACACACACAAACACTGTAAAGATTATAGATTTAATTGAACCTCTAAACATTGGTTACACGATAGTAAAAGCTTGAGTGGCTTAATCTCTTTATTGTTAAGAGTTCCCCACACGGTTATGATAACACAACGACGACAAGTCTTGGATTAAGGGCTGGTCGTCTGGGGGAGCCCTCAGCCCAACCGGGGCAAAAGGTACCGCGAGGTGAACTTATGTGACCCTGACACTGGCGACTGACTCTCTCTTGACCGGGTCAAAACGCGGCCTCAAGAACCCAACCTTCATGGGGGGGGGGGGATGGTCATTCCTCCCTTTGCCCTGCCCAGGGGCGTGGCCGCCTGCGGCTGCTTCCAGGCCTCCAAGCTAACCTCTCTCTGCAGCTGGGGGTCAGGTCAGCTGCAGGTGTTCCTTAATGCGGCAGGTGTTCCTATGAATGTCACACCGCTCTGCCACCTACCCACGGCTCGTCCTCGAGGCGATCTAGATTTTCCTTTAGGGTGACCCGACCTGGCTGGTCCTAACTTGCTCATCCTCGATCTCGGGTGCGGTATCCTTGGTGCATCTCCGTGGCTGCTCGTTCTGTGTCGTCCTCCTCGTCCTTGACGAATGGATTACCAGGGACATATATATATATATCACGTCCTCGACTGGTCTCGCACAGGTCCTCCTTGATTCGGATTCGCCCAGACATCCTCGTAGTCCGCGTACAGGTCAAACTCGGCGGCTTATTCGCCCAATGCACGTCTAGCAGATCTCCGTCCAGGTCCTTCTCGGCGGCGCGCTCGTACAGACGTCTTCGTAATCGTCGTCAGGATCTACGGGTGTCTGGCAGGAAGCGTCCTCTTCAACATCGTAGGGCGGCTGATACCTGCACTGATAAGCTCCTGGAGTTTGACTGGATCTGCGGCGTCCAGGCAGGCGGCGCCCGTCCACAGCATCATAGGACGGCGAACCTGTACTGCCGAGCTCCTGTCTTCGCTGGATCTCGGGGCGTCCTGGCAGGCGGCGATCTTCCGATGACGTTTTCCAATGGCTTCCGAAGGTGACCGCTTCTGCAGCAGGGCCTCCTTTGGTGCCGTTTCAGATATCAGGAACCAGAATAACACATAATGGGCCAGATAGTGAGAAAAAGAAAAACGACAGAGAAGAGTCGTTAAATGCTACAAGCCGATTTTTTGTTTCATAATTTTCAGTTTTTAAAGTTGAATTTTCGGTATTTTCGTCTTTTTTTTTATTTTGTGTTTTATATTCACAAAGTTAAAGTTAAAAGAAAAAAATAGGAGAGGGAGATGGTGATAACGATCCGCAAGGATCCTCTTGAGCTACCATCGTCTCGTGAGATAATGATGATAAAGTAAAGGAAACGACAATTGGCATTCCACAAGGAGTTACTTGAACCATTTGTTGAACCCGAAAGAAAAGTATAAAGTATGAATTCATGTACAAGTCACACATCTCGACTAACAAAATTGCGGGCAAAGAGATACGAACACCTGCAACTATGACAGCAGCAAACCTATTAACCCATTGCCGCCGGGGATGGCATGTACGTACATGCCATGCCCATTGCGAGTAGACTTGTTCGATTGTTTTTACACATAGATGGCTACACTTGTCCTAAGTATCCAGTGAGCCAATTACGAGTACTGCCTGTTTCGCCTGTTCACCCTTTTCATCGATTTACGAAAATATTTAACGTTATCCTAATTTGCTGTTAAAAATAACACCATCTATATTTATAGCACTAGTAAGAATACGTTTTTTTCCCGCCAATTCAAGGAAAGGTGAAATCAGAACTAGCGGAGCCATCTATGGACAGAGATATTTCACAAAAATATAAGAAATGAGTACTGCATTTCCCCCATTTTTTCTTCATTTTCCCCGGCGGCAATGGGTTGAAAGTTTCAGTGTCTTTTGTTCTGTGTCGATGAGTGGGCGACTGTGTGTGCATGCTTGAGTGACAGTTAATGATGAATGTCAAATGAAAGTAAGAGTGACCTCATGTAGAGCAGTAGTGTTGCCAAAACGTTGAATAAAGTTCATTTTAACAATAATGGGACTAATTATTTATAGACGTAATTCTAAATTATTTCAAGTACCATATTGAATTTAACATTTAATGATATACGACAGAATGACGCATTAATGAATGGTGACGTAAAAATTATTCGCAAGCCTCTTTGCGAGCAAATCTTCCGAGGAAGGATATCCGAGGAAGTAGGTGTCTTTACCGGTCATGCAGACTTATTTTGACAGGGGGACGCGACCCAAAAATGCCGTATTTTATGAAGCTGGGAAAATCTATAAATTACCCACTCTATCTGCGGATCTATGATGGGCGCTCATGAAATGCCCTACGGGAATTTATCATGATCACAAACCGATGGGATCTACCCAACATGACAGCAACATGTAAAAGTGTGAGCGGGTTGTGATTAATTAAGTGGAACCTAAATCAGACTTAAATCCTAGTCCTAAATTAATGGACATAATTGCGGTCACCCTGGCTCAAAGTTAGCCGAACGTATGATTTGCTTCAGTTACCTTAACTTACTATCATCTGTCGGGACGTCGAGTACATTATACATCTCAAGTAATTCTCAAGTATTCAGACACTCTGACACTATGTATGAGGATATCTCTTGACGGTATATTCAATTATATGAGTTCTGTTCTAGCGCCGATAGAACGTTTCACCAATGAACATGTAACGGTTGCTATGCATTAAAACTATATTGTGACAACTAGTTCAAACAATTAAAGAGAATTTGCAAGCTGTTTTTCTCCAGGCATTTCCTGTGATAATCACTCCTAGTGAGAGTGAGGTCAGATCGCCCAGCTGTTCGAAGCAGGGTTTGACTTGACGCTAATTTTGATACAATTAAAACAATATAATTTAATCACGAAAAAAGGCAAATAGACACTTAATAAATGAACGAATTCATAATGTTTGGCTTCATACTCTATCACACAGTAATGAGGTGTGAGGTCAAGGAAATGAGATGAGAGTATGTCATTTCGCTAATTAGCACTGTAACCCAACAAAAAACTAACGTGAGCATCGAAGTATATGGCTTAACATATTTAGGGAAAAATAGAAAGGAAATGAAAAGAAAAGGGGCCCAAAATGTGTACTCACAGTTTCTTGAAGAAATGTCATCTTGCGTTTGTTTGAAGCCGAGCGTTTTTTCTTCGGAGGATGATTCGGTTGCGTGCCAAAAGGACGCAACAACCACCTCTGCCACCAGAATGTAGGAAGGGGTGGATAGCCGTCCGGTGTGCAACAACCACCGCTTTCACCAGAATGTAAAGGGTTATAGATTTGATTGAACCTCTAAACATTGGTGACAGGATAGTAAAAACAAGTCTTGGGATAAGGGCTGGTCGTCTGGGGTCACGGGCTGGCCCTCAGCCCAACCGGGGCAAAAGGTACCGCGAGGTGAACTGATGTGACCCTGACAGACACTGGCGACTGACTCTCTCTTGACTGGGTCAAAACGCGGCTTTAAGTACCCGACCTTCTCGTGGGGAGGGCATCATAACACTGGTCATTCCTCCCTTTGCCCTGCCCAGGGTCGTGGCCGCCTGCAGCTGCCTCCAGGCCTCCAAGCTGACCTCTCTCTGCAGCTGCAGGTGTGTCAACTTTTTATGGCTGTCTCATTTTGTTCTCTGACACTCGACGTTTACCGTGGCGGTGGGATTGACAGCAGGTGCTCCTGCTGCCACGGTGTAAGCGAGTTGCAAAGTCTATTTACCAGCACGGCGGCCGTGTCGGCGGTCCCTGTCTCAGGAACTGTGTGTTCACAATTCTCTAAGGAGTGTACAAGTGTGGCATTCGGCTCGCCGCAATGCATGAAGATAGCACCTTCACGTACAATGGTCTCAATTATTTGCCATGTACAGTAGAAACCTAGGCGCATTCTGTGAAGAATGACTTCGGTACTTCTGTTGTTTATTTCAGAGAGTGCCAGTGGTTCATAGCCTGCTGCTTCTGAGTACCATCTGGCCGAGGGGGAGGATCTCGTTGCCTCTCTGTGAAGCTGCAGGAGGAAGGATTTGGTGACACCAGTACACCTCCACCGAAGTAATTTTCGGCTTGCGTTAATGATCATTGGATTAGGGGGCATACCCCTGCCAGAGACGGCTAGTCTGTCAGCAAGCTCATTCCTTCTGATGCCAATATGGCTAGGGATCCAGTTAATGATAATTCTTCTACCCTGAGCCAGTATTCTTTGGGCTATCGTCAGTATTGTGGTCAGGAGGTAGATGTCTTTGGGTGAGCTGTGCTGAAGGTAGTCAATGGCTACCCTGGAGTCAGTATGTATGACTATGTGTCCTTCCCTTAGGGACGCGTGGGATAGGGCTCCCATGATCGCAACTGCCTCTGCCTGTA